GATGTTTTATCAACAGGCACTATAGCAAATTGCTGTTGTAGCTGCCGTAGAGATGTATTAGCAGCACGCGAGGCAGCTTGAGTGGATGCTTGGTATTGTGACGTAGATAGATTCCGTTGGCATCTTGAAAGAATTGTTGCGCGCCATCTGCGCAGCTGAGAGAGACTGTCGGCAATTAGAGACTCGTTGTTGCGTGCTGACCTCATGGCTGCTATGAACTTGGCAATATACTCATCCAAGCCGAGTTTCAATGCTTTCATCACATCTGTGGTGTTGGCATTGAGGCGGTACTTGGAGCCTTCAAAGAAGAGAGYCYGCAAGTGTGTATCTTGTATAACAGTGTAGTCCACTGTAGCTACATGACCATCAACAATGTCCGCACAATGTGGAAACGCTTGTCGGCAGGGACAATTGGCAGGGTCTGGAAGAGGCATATTGCTTGTTATGGTAAGTGCCACTTCTGTAAAATTGCAGAACTGGACACGAATGGGGCGCACCATCTTATCACAGATGCGTATCTCCTTGGCAAGAGCAGGTCGTGGGTGTAATTCAGCGACCTCTGGTAGCCGAAGGACGCCTCGTAGTTGTGTGGTGCGAGCAACCTGATGCATGTGCATAACCTTAATAAAATTTAAAAATTGAGCCCCATTATGTCCAGGGCTGAGATATGGTTAGCGTGAATATTGCAGACCACGGATCATACATTCCAGTTGACGAATGTTCGATGTGAGCTCAGAGTTGGAGACATTCGTTAGCAACCATTGCAACAAGCGAGAGCGCCAGGCAGAGTTGGCTTGAGAGAGGGCACGAGATATGGATTCCCATTCCGAGTTGGCTGCCTGTGTGAGCATGCAATGCAGGGCTGAGCGCACAACAAAGAAGGGACCCGGGGCAGTGTCAATCGTGAATGGCCTATCAGCAGAAGTTTGCACTGCAGGGCGGGTAGCAGGACTATTCGGGCGGCCTCTCGTACAAATCCACCTGTTCGGACGACGAGATCGTCTGACTGGCGGTAATCGCCCTTGTGGGAGGACACTGTTAAAGCCCCGAGGATATAACGTGGACAGGCGTCGGACCCAAAACCCTTCACGAGGAGCAGCAGCACGTTTAAATGATTCTGGATCAATGGAACCATCAACATTCAGATAGAGATGTGGATCAATACACTCCAGGGGCCCCACAACAAAATGAAATGGAGGTTGCCTGGCCATGGAGTGATAGAGGTAACGATGGCGTGAGTGTGTCGTTTGAGATGAATGGCGGGAGTGCCAGTGCTGCTGTAAACAATAGTGAGCGGAATATGTCGTCTGCCCAACATATGTGCGGCCGGACGGTATGTGAACAATAGCATAAATAACCCCGGGGGCTGATAGAGCATCCATTCCTGGTTGAATGGGGCTCTGATCAATGCCTCATAATTGCAGTTCAAATTGTTCCACGCGCCGCTGCTGCTATATAGCGGAGCCGCTTCTTAAACCAGCGACCTGCGTCATAGAGACCAGTATTCCATTCATGATGTGCAACCCAATCAACTCTATTAGGCTGTCGCGCATAGCGGTGACGGGAGGAAGAGTGAGGGGGGTTAGCACAGGGAGGATCGCAAGAAGGATATGTGGTTTGTGCCGCGCCACCGGCACAGGGATCCCCGTTCAAATCCCTTTCCTGATTCTCACGTTGCGTTGCTGACATCATAGGGTGAAGTATTTCTCAAATTTCGGAAATTTTACTCTCTAAAGTGGAACAAGTTTATAAAACCTGGTAGAGGAGGAAAAGAAAGTAGTTAAAAGGTAACCCCATAGTCCAGGCCCGTCGGCTCAGCTCGGGAGGCTGCCGACGTCCCTTGCAGGAGGTACTCGCCACAAAGTTGTCCAAGTGATGGGTCGGCTAGTATGCAGAACGCCTCCACCTGTGAGTGTGCTCAGGGCAACCGTCCCAGACGCCGGGCACAGCAGGACTAGCTATTCTGTTCGGAGGAGGTGTCCGATCATCACCCGAAACTTTGTGTACAAGGTTTATGTCAGGGAGAACGTCCAGCAAGGGTGAGATGAGTAGGAGTACTCCGCACCTGAGTTTGGCACACCTTGGGTGGGGAGCTAACTATACTCACTGCGCGAAAGGAAAGGGCAAGAAACCGCACCCTTACGGTGACCGCCACCGCAGGACATGGGTTCCTGAAGCAAAACCAGAGGGTCAGTCACATGGACAAGGCGAAGGCCAAAATGTTAGTACAAGTCAGGTCAGTTTCAAAACATAACAACGAAATCATAGCAACAGGCGAGACAGACGTCGGACCTAAGGCAGACTCACATTTCTGGATGGGAGACATATCGCTGTAGCAAAACAGTTCAATCGACTATAATATAAGAAGCCCTTGTATTTGTCCCGGCCAAGCATGTTGAATAAATCCGGAATTTTGCAATGATCGCAGACCTCATGATGTGTGTGTGTGTGTGTGTGTGTGTGTGTGTGTGTGTGTGCACGTGGACATTCAGGGTAGATCCTAGTGCGTGCGTGCATGAGAAGGAGTGTGGCTGATGGTGGTTACAGTGTTAAGGGGGGAATTAAGACCGGCGTTCAGACACCATAGCCACAAGCTGTGACAAGTTGACTTGTACTGAGTTTCTGGCCAAGGGCCGTATATCTGAGTTTTCTGTGTGGGCGCTGTGCGCCATCTCATGCTTGTTGCTGATTCTGCCTGGCAAGAGTTTGTCAGCCATCGGCATTTGTTTGCATGCATGTTGAAAGTGAAGCTGAAGACAAGTCTGATTTCATATTGGGCTGGGCGCACGCTTTAGTTTTCAAACTTTTGATGACATTGACAAGACTGGAATCATGAAAATAGTGACTAGGTGGCAGGCACAGCGATGGCGAGCTCCATTTCTGAAAGCCAAATGAACCTGAGTTGACTTTTTGAAAGCCAAATGAACCTGAGTTTGACTTCTGAAAGTCAAATGAACCTGAGTTTGACTTCTGAAAGTCAAATGAACCTGAGCGTGACTACCGGTAGTGAAAGCCAAAAATGAATGTCTCTCCCCCACGCTCTGCGTCGTTAACATAAACCCTAACAATGAGGTATTATAACAGTCACAAGCTATTTTGTCCCCGATGTCTTCCCTGCACTGGTATTATGCAAGGGGGCCACAGGTCAGCCGATAGCGGATCGGTGGATGTCGGCAATGACAGCAAGAACATCTGCAACTAGCAACCTCCGCCGTTGGATTGGGGATCATAACGTCAAGAGTCCAATGCAAAGCAACGCGTCCGTCCCTTGACGACCAAGGCATGGGGTTCTGGAAGTCAGGCCTGTGCAAAACACAACTTAACAGTACATAGGTTTCAGGGGACTGGTGGTTTAAAGATCAACAGAATCGCTTCGTGCTGTTCAAGCAGCACAGCGCCGGGCAGAAAAGATGCATGCAGTTCAGTGCTTGGCAATGTCATGATTATGGTCCGGCTGCGCATGCCGCTGAATGTCTGATCCTGTCGTAGCATCACTTCCCGGGGGGCTCAAATCCGTCTTTTTATGCAGCCTAATGTGCCGACGATTTGCTTTGATACTGTCATAGCGAGTAGCGAAAGTGTGGTTGCCAACTTGCCGTCGATGGATGCAGCAATATAGTCATACTTGGTATAACTGATTAACCACAAACCTGCCCATTTATATTCATTACGATGATTACGTTGAGAAGTTTGAATAAACATTTTCATTCAAACTTATTGTACGTATCTTTTATGCTTTATGAAGTTTTTGTCAGAAAAAGGACAGTGCTTTCTGGCCTCGGATCTATCCGTGCACGCATGGAATAGAACGGGCACTGTGGCATACTGCGTAGCCACACGGGCCCTGCAGGGCCCGTCCCGGACATTCAGCCTAAAAGCCTAAAACTTAGGGCTTACAGGCAACGTCCGTTTCAGCCTGAAAGCTGAAAAACGAGGGCCTGCAGGCCCTACCCCGTTTCAGCCTATTTCTGGGTCTTTTCAGACCCAGAGTTTTCAGCCTGAAACGGAGGGCCATTTTCAGGCCCTCATTGTTTCGACCTGCCCCTAAGACTCAGGCACGTAAACAGGGATGCGGAACAGGCCAGAAATAGCCTGTTCCTCACGAGTTTGAGCAGGAGCTGCAGCTGCAGCCCCTGGCATCCTTCGGCAGGCTCAGGAGGCACACCCAGTAGTACATAGGAAGTTCCCATGCACTTCACGGGTAGGTAGTTCAGTAGGCACGAGGTAGTCTTCAGGATTCGGCCGCAGCACTCAGGAGGAGCGCTGCAGTAGTCTTCAGTGTTAGGCAGGTATTAGCGCTAGCTGTAGTCTTCGGCGCTGGGCGCCATAGTTGTAGCTGTAGTCTTCAGCCCTGGGCGCTGGTAGGTGGTAGATCGTAGAGTTGGAGAGAGACTGGCGGAGGCTTGTGGGACTTACCTGTGGCGCCATCGCTCCAGCTCCATCTTCGTGGTACCTGCATCAAGACGCCAACTTCATAGGTTAGTACTGGACACAGAGAGAGAGAGAGAGAGTTCTTCTTCTTCCTCTTCTAAGTCCACCTTCTCTTCTCACCCTCTCGCCACCTGACTTCTCAGACTACGACAGAGAGAGAGACAGAGTTGTGAC